TACCTATAAATATCTGCTAAAGAGAGTTTATGGCTTAAGAAAGGTTTTACATTTGTAGGGTTAAATAAATCGACTTTCAAACTAGAAAACTAGTTTATAATTAATAAAGACCCACTTTTTATTATAATTCAGAATAGTTTTTTTATATAAAAATGGACTGTAATCAAAATATGTTTTCTGTGTGAAAAAGTGACAGAATTCCAGATTAAATTTCTATAGGAAAGTAATTCATAGACGCATTTTTACAGAAAAGACGACTTTAATTCTATAAATTTTTCTTAGAAAAATTTACTATAGTCTAGAGAACTCTTCAATAAAAAAGTTGACTATAGTCTAGAGAACTTTTCTATAAAAAAGTTGATTGTAATCTAGAGAAATTTTTGACAGAAAAGTTGGCTCTCAACTAGAAAACTTCTCTACAGAAAAGTTGACTCAAATCTATATAACTTTCAGAGAAAACTTAACTAAAATCAATGAAACTTTTCTAAAGAAATGCTAACTATAATAAAGACCCATTTTTTTTACTATAATTCAGAATAGTTTTCCATAAAAAATTACACTGCAATATAGTCTACTTTTTAATAGAAAAGTGGACTGTAGTAAAAACTCGTTTTCTGTGTGAACAGGTGAGGAATTGAAGAAACGACAACGTTCTCTGTGTGAACAGGTGACTGAAATCCAGATCAAATTTTTATAGAATAGTTGAAGTATTAAGCAGAAAAGTCGTCTTTAATTCCGTGAACTTTTCTACAGAAATGTTTTCTGTAATTTAGAAAACTCTTCTATATAACAGGGGACATTTCTATAAAAGTTTATTGAAATCTAGAGAACTTTTCTATAGAAAAAGCTGACTATAATTCAGAATACTTTTTTAGAGAAAATGTAACTATATTCTAGAGAACATTTCTGCAGAAAGTTGATTATAATTTAGAGAATTTTTCTCTAGAAAAGTTTATTGTAATCTAGAGAACTTTTCTACAGAAAAGTGGACTCAAATCTATAAAACTTTCAGAGAATTTTTCTATAGAAAAGTTCATTTTAATCTGTAGAATTTTTCTAGGGAATAGTTGTTTGCTATTCCTAGCAATTTTCTATAGAAAAGATGACTCTAATTTAGATAACTTTTGTAGAGAAAGGTTAACTTTATTCTAGAATACAGAGAAATTTAATGTAATGAGAATTTTTCTAGAGAAAAGTTTACGGTAATCTGTAGAACTTCTTACAAAACTTTACTTTGATGTGGAGAACCTTTCTTTAGAACAAATTACTGCAATTCAGATAACTTTCTATAGAAATTTTGACTGTTATTCAGACATACTTTTCTTCAGAAAAGTTCATTATAATCTAGGCAACTTTTCTACGAATAAGTAGACTGTAAGCTAGAGAATATTTCTATCGAAACGTTGACATCTATCTGGAGAACTTTTCTATACAAAAATTTACTTTAAGCTTTGGAAAAAGTTAGTCTAAAAGATAAATAGATTATAGATCAGAGAATTTTTCTATAGACAATTTGACAGTATTTCAGAGAACATTTTAATAGAAAATTTTACTGTATTTCAGAAAACTTTTCTGTAGAATAGTTCATTGTCGTCTAAATAACTTTTCTTCATAAAAGTTGACTGCAAACTAGAGATCTTCTTTGGAATCAGCTGTACTTTTTCCCAAGGAAAATTTACTCTAAAAAGAGAACTTTTCTATAGAAATGTCAACTGTAATTTAGAGAATTATTCTATAATAACGTTGACTGTAACTAAGAGAATTTTTCTAGAGAAAAATTGAATATATTCAGATAACTTATTATGGAATAGTCGACTGTAATTAGAGAATGTTTCTTCATAAAAGTTCGCGGTAACCTGGAGGATATTTCTACAAAAATTAAGAGAACTTTTCTGGAGAAAAGTTAACTGTAATGTTGAAAAGTTGATTGTAATTGAGAGAAGTTTTCTGTAGAAAAATTAACTCTAATATAGAAACTTTTCTATAGAAAAGTTGACTGAAATGTAGAAATATTGACTTTTCTATGGAATCAAAATTTATAAGGAATTGAAGAAACGACAACCAAGAAGTGATCCAGAGATCTTTTCTATGGAAAAGTTATACCTAATCGGGACCATTTTTCTATACAAACAGAATCTATTAGGAATCAGATTATAGAAGATAAAGAACATTACGTGAAGGTAATAAAATGGAGGGCCCAGTTTAAATAAAACACAAGAAAAACAAAAACTTTAAGTTAAGATAACTCAAGGAAGAGAGCAGATATATGTAAGAGAGGGTTAAACTTTGACATTAAAGTTGACAGGTTAGACTTTAAAATATTTTAGCAAAATTTCTAAATTAAGGTTAATTGGCTCTGTTATAAAATGGTCGAAAACGGTAATTTTCAAACTTTAGGACACGAAATCTCGAAAACATCATGTTTACGTCTCAAATATGGCGAAAAAACGGGGGATTTCAAACTAAAGTGCACGATATCTCAAAAACATGATGTGCTGGTAAAATTCTGAGGCCAGCTTCGTAGTTAGCAAAGCTCAATCTTTTAAAAATATAAACTTTGGTCTGTGGTTTAAGAGTTTTTTGAAATTTTGTGGTTAAGTTTGAAGTTTACATAAAAACCCGCCCTAAACTTTTTCAGACACAGAATTGAAATTAAACCTTATAAAACTCCAAAGGCTGGTTGTGATTTTTCACAAATATATATATATATATTTTTTTTTAATAATATATTTATAATAAAATGCATTTAATAATGTTTCAATTTGTTTTGGAATTTAATAAAAATATGGTTTCTTTTTATTTAAAATTAATTTGGCTTGATAGGAAAAAAAATTAATAAACAAACATTTTTTTTTGTAAAATAATAATAATTAATATTAATTATAATTAAAAGCAAACAAATAAATACAGAAGAACAAAATTAAAACATAAAAATTATAAATTTATAAAAAGACAAACATAAAAAATAAAATCGAAATAAATTGTTTAAGTAAAAGAAAAAAAAGTAGATTTTTTTTGTTTGTTTAAGAGTTAAGAGTTTAATTTAAATAACAAAATTATAATTATAAATATAAATGTAGTTATGTATATTATTTATTATAAGTAATTAATATATATATATAATATGTATGTAGTTTATGTATATGCCATGATAAATATATGTATGTATATTGTATGTATTATGTAGATAATTATGTATATTGTATGAAACTACTAAAAACTACTATTTAAATGGAGTTTTTTTTTTCTTGTTGCTTTTTTTAAATTTTCTTTTTTTTAGAATATGATTTTTTTTATTTGTTTTATAATAATATGTTTAGTTTTTTTTTAATTTATTGTTAAATATATAATAATGTTTTGTTTTGTTTTCTTGTTTTTTTGTTTTATGACTAGATTTTATAAATATATCATTTTTTGTTGTAATTTTTATATAGATTATCAAGAAAAAAAAAAATATATGTACGATATTTTTGTTTTGTTTTTGTTTTTTAAGTTTAAGAGTATATATATATGTTATGTATATAGTTATTGGTAGTTGTATATAAATTGTATAGAAGCTTAAAAATTATGATTTTTTTTATTTATTTTTATGTTTTAAATTTAATTAAAACAAATTATTAAATTAAATTTAAACGAATTGTGGTTAAAGTGTTCGAAAATTTGTTTTAAATTATGTTTTATAAATAAAATAATTAGATTTGTTTATGGATTTTAAAAAAAGTGGGAGATAGAGATTTTAAGGAAAGAAGATTTTTAGTTTTAAACTTAATACTTGATTTTGGTAAAAAAAAACTACTACTAGAAATATCCTGTAGAAAAATAGACTGCAAATCACAGAAATTTTCTCTAGAAAAGTTGATTGTAATACAGAAAAATTTTCTCTAGGAAACTTGTCTGTAATTCAGAGAAATTTTTTGTATAAATGTTGACTATAATCCAGTGAACTTTTCTATAGAAAAGATGGCTTTAGGGCAGAGAGCTTTTATATAGAAGAGATAACCTTAATCCTTACAACATTTCCTTACAAAAGACGACTGTAATCCGGACATGTTCCCCATATTAATAATGACTGTAATGTAATGGATTTTTCTATAGAAAAGTAGACAATAATGCCGGAAACTTTTCCATACAAAAGTTGATTGTAATTTAGAAAACTTGAACTTAATTCTGAACTTTCAGGAACTCTTCTATACGAAAGTTATCTGTAAATCAGATAATTGTGACTATAAAATCCTTATAACTTTACTATGGAACATTTCTATAGAAAAGTTGAATGTAATACGAACAACTTTTCCATAGAAAAATTTACTACTGAGCAAGAACTTTCTTATAGAAAGGAACTTTGAACCGTTGACTGCAACTCAAAGAACTTTCTTTAGAAAAGTTGACTATAATCCAGAGAACTTTTCTATAGAAATGATGACCTCATTCCATAGATTTATAGAAACTACAGCTGTAATCCTTACAACTTTTCTATATAAAAGTTAAGACTGTAATCTAGAGAACTTTTCCATACAAAAGTAGACTGAAATACGGACATCCTTTCCATACAACAGTTGACTATTATGCGAGAAACTTTTCTATAAAAAAGATTACTAAAATTCCATAACATTTCGGTACAAAAGTTGTCTGTAACACAGAGTATTTTCTTTAGAAATGATGACTAAAATCCAGAGAACTTTTCTATAGAAAATATGGCTGTTGTCCTTACAACTTTTCCCAATAAAAGTTAAATGTTATCCAGAAAACTTTTCGCAATTAAATGGACTATATTGCCAAGAACTTTCCATGAAAAAGTGGAAAACAGTTCAGGGAAGAAAAAATTGATTGTAAAAAATTGTTCCTTTAAAAAATGGACCATAATCCTGAAAACTTGACTATAAAATTAAATAAACTTCTGCTACAAAAAAGTAAAAAAAAAAGCACTTCCATTCCACAACCTTTACAAATTCCATAAACAAATCCCACTAAGATTTAGTTGGGAATTTTATTATCTTTAGTTTTTTTTTTGTTTGTTAATTTTATAAATTGTATTGTATTTGTATAAATATATGGTAAATTATATGCTTATAAGCATTTTAAATACTATATTTAAATTTTATTTCCCGTTTTTTGTTGTTGTTGTTGTTGTTGTTATTAATCAATTATAATTCTAAGCTGTCTTTTTTTTATCTTTGGAGTTTGTATGTATGTATGTGTATTTATTTTTGTCTTTTTATAAAATTCCCCTCTGAATCTAACCACAATTCCCCGCCCACCCCGTTTCTTAATATTTACCTATGCAATGCATTCGTTATCTGTTTGAGTGATTGACCAACTTCGCTGACCAAACGTTCATTGTCCTGGACATTTTTCGTACCAGCCGTACGTAGGGATTGCGATTGTGTTTCTACTCGAGTGACCAACTCACGAAAATGAAATTTCGAATGAGGCGGCATGCACTCGTTGTCCGCGAAGACGACACAAGAGTTTTGTAGTATATTCAATTTATCGCTGAGTTGTAGCCATTGTGAAGCGGATATGGTGTTGACCGGATGCTTGAGAGAGCCCTCTAAAAGTCCCACCAATTCTAAGATGCTTTCACGTGAGATTTTCGTAGAGTTTTCGGTTGCAGCATTATTGGTTGTGTTGGTGTTATTAGTGTTGGTAGTTGTGATGTCTGTATTGCCACCAGCTGAGGCAATTTTTTGAGCCATGGGCGTGGCATAGATGGTGAGTTTGGTGGGTTTTAGTGGCACGGCTGGTTTTGAGTTTATAGTCGATGTGGTGAGTTTGTTATTGACGCCGGCAGCTGATGAATTGGTATTTTCCACAAACATGGACTGAGTCATGAGATCATTTTCTTGCTGCTGTGAATCCTCTCCGCCTGTTGCTGCTGTAGTTTTGTGTGAACTATTAACTGTGTTGAGTTCTGTGAATTGTGTGGAAATAGAATTTGTTAAATGAGTGGATGTTGTGGCGTTATTATGATGTTGATGATTATTATGGGAATTGTTATGGGATGAATGCTGTTGTTGGCTTTGATTTTGAGGAGGTGGTGGGGGTGGAGGTTGTAATGGTGGTGGTTTATTGCTATTATTATTGGTAATTCTGGGTGATATTTGTGTGCTATTAAGGGGATAACGTTGTTGTGGTTGCTGTTGTTGCAATAGTTGCGTGGAAGAATTGGTGCCAGAGGTGGGTGTGATTAAACCACCGCTGTTAGTAGTGGTAGGTTTAAATGCAAATTTAGGAGACAATTGTGTGGAGGTGGTAGTGATGATGGCATTGGTTATATTGGTAGTGGTAGCATTCCCAGGCATATTTTGCGTGCTGGCATAATCTGCTTGTTGTGGGCCGATTGCAGTCGTTGTTTGACCCGGTTGTTCCCATAATTTCTTTAAACTATTAATACTACCTGTGCTGCGGCGTTTTCCACATTCCACATTGGCCTCAGTGTTCGCCGATGATTCGGTATTATTTTCAGCATTGTTGGCATTGGATTGATTGGCTTGATTGATTTGGTTTGTCTGTTGTTGTAGGTCAATTTTTATTTCAGTCTTTTGTGTTAAATGTGTCGTGTTGTTGGTGGAAAATTTCTTATCATCTTTGCGATTTAAAGTCGATGATCCCGTTGAAGAAGAAGTATTGGTTTTTGCATTAGCATTTGGTGATTTGTTTAGAGTCGTTGTTGTTGATGATGAAGAAGCAGATGAAGTGTCCTTTTCCAAGTCTTTTTTTAATTCTTTGTCTTTTAAGCTTGTCTCTGTTGTATTATTTTTAGTCTCTACCTTACGTAGGTGAGCTTTGAAATCTATAATGTTGGTTTGTTGTTCTGGTTTTTGTGTGGGAGTGGGTAATTTTTTAGGTTCCACCTTTTTTAACTGAGCCTTGAAAGTATTAGTATTGCCGGCCGTATTTAAATCATTTGTAGCAGCTGGCGACTTGGGTGCCGGGGGATTAGCTGCCGCCAATTGTTGTTTTTGTTTGGGCAAATTCATGCTTTCGGCCAATTCGTTGACTAAAAGAGCCACCGGATCTACACTAGAATTGCCGTTTTGTATATTGGCTGTGGTAGAGGAATTCTCTTTGGCTTGTCGATCTTTTATTTCTGCCATTAACTTTTCCTTCATGGTTAATTCCTGATTTTGCAAATTGCCATTATTGTTGTCATTGGCGGCCGGGGTGCCTAGCGAACTGCAGGAGTCTGTAGAGGGTTCTCTTTTACGCAAAGAAACTCCAAATCTTGAACTAGCCTCCTCAACACTGGGGGCGGTGTTGGAAACATCATTACAGCTGGTTTTGGTCTTTAAACCCAATTGTGCCGCATAAGCTTGGGGTGGCGTAGACAAATCACATTCTGGCTGTGGTGGCGGTGGTGGTGGCATGTTTTCAAACTCTTCTGGTGGTGGTGGCAAATCCAAAGGTGGTGGTGGAAATTCCAAATTAGCCAAAGCCGGTTGCTGATTACGTTTGGGTGAATTGCTAGAGTTATTGCCACGGAAGGAAGAGAAGGTCATCATGCTGCTGCCATCGGCAGTGGTGCGATGTCTTTGTAACTTATTTAAACTGGCCGAGGCATTGTTCTGCATGGTTACACCACCCGAAGAGTTGCTACGTATCATTTGTTGTGGCAAGGGGGCCGCCAAAGGTGGAGGAGTATTTTTCGCTAGTCTGCCATTTAGGCCATTTGTGGCAGGCGCTGCTGTTACCACATTAGCGGGTGTACCTACAGTACTACCCCCCTCATTGCTGTCTTCCAAACTATCGAGAAATTGGCCAATTCTTTGTACCTTGGGCAAGGTGCCATAACGATTGACCACACGTTTAACATTCATGACCTCCAAGGCTCCTACCTGTATGGGTTGGGCTACCGGATTTATTTGATTTATAGCTGCGGTATTAACAGCCACTGTGTTTCCCTCCGTTCGGCCGGAATGTTGAGATCTTTTACTTTGTCTTGTTTCTAGACCACGATTGCCCATTACTGGTGTAGGTCTCTTAAAAGAGGAGTGTGTTTGGGCTCCTCGTGGTCCAATATTATTGGCAACATGCATAGAATGTTGCATTTTAGAGTGTGTATTCTGCTCCAAACTATCGCCAGTATGATCGGTATCAGGATCGCCGGTGTTATTGTCATTCTCTGAGTCGTAACGTTGATTGAGATTATTTATATCACGGCTGAGACCTTTAAGAGTATAAAATAAATTGAGGTTATGAAAAATGTTTTCATTTTACGAGATTTTTTTTTTTAAATGTTTTGGGATTAAATTATGAAAAAAGAGAGTTTTGTAACTTTTTATTTCTTTTTTGTGTGTTTTGTTTTGTTTAGAATAAAAACAAAGGGGCAGAGACAGTTAATAGATGAGTGATGTCCATTTCCACATTCCAAAGCGTAGCAAGAACATAAATATAAACAGTTAATATAAATAAATTAATAAATAATTTAATTAATAAATAAAAGCAAATGAAAGTTAAATAAATAAGCAAATAATAGTTTAAATTTAAAAATTTTAATAAATTTTATATTAAAAAAAAATTTGGTTGGTTACATTAATGTGATTTTGAAGAAACTATAAAATTATTCATCCCAATAGTTTCCAATTTAATGAATTACACATAGTATCTTCAAAGTTTTGAGTAATAAATCATGTTATAACTTTTGGGCATTAAACATATCGATATAGTTTATATAAAATCTTTCCCCTATTTAGCAAAGCTTTCAATAAATATAGTTTTTCCATAATTTTCCTAATAAAAAGCAAATAGATGATAATAAGCAAAATATGTTCAAAATCCATTATTAAAACTGATTATGTTATCTGTAAATTAAGTTAAAAATACAAAAAAAAAAAAACGTTAGTATTTTGTTTAAATATAAAAATAAAGTAAAAAATATTTAGTACTACTTTAACAAATTCAAGCCAATTAAAAAAATTAAAAAGAAACAAATGTACCATACGAAATACTAATAACCCAGGAAAAATTTTAGAAATTGTTTACAAAAAATCTAGTTTTAGAACGAGAGCAAACAGAACTATTTAAAATTCCTGAATTCCAACATTGGATCTATTGTTTCCAAAGTATTTCTAAAAAGCTAATCTTTCAATCTATAGTCCAGAGTATATCCAATCTTTCAATCTATAGTCCAGAGTATAGTCCTGTCCAGGCTATAGTCAAGTCAATAGTCCAGACTATAATCTAGTTTATAGTCCAGACTATAGTCTAGTCTATAGCCCAGACTAGAGTCAAGTCTATAGTCCAGACTATAGTCTAGTCAATAGTCCAGAATATAGTTTAGTGTATAGTCCAAACTATAGTCTAGTCTATAGTCCAGACTAGTGTCTAGTCTATAGTCCAGACTACATTCTTGTCTATAGTCCAGACTGCAGTCTACTCTATAGTCCAGACTACAGTCTAGTCTATAGTCCAGACTACAGTCCAGACTACAGTCTAGTCTATAGTCCAGACTACAGTCTAGTCTCTAGTCCAGACTACAGTCTAGTCTATAGTCCAGACTACAGTCTAGTCTACAGTTCAGAATATAGTATAGTTTACAGTGCAGACCATAATCTAGTCTATGGTTCCGTCTATAGTCCCAACTATAGTCCAGTCTATAGTCTAGTCTATAGGTCAGAAGATAATCATTGTCCAAGCAATAGTATAGTCTATAGTACATACGATAGTACAGTCTATATTCCAAATCTAGTTTATAGTCCAGACTATAGTGTAGTCTATAGTTCAGACTATAGTATATTCTATATCCCAGAAGATAGTCTATTGTCCAAGCAATAGTTTAGTCTAGTTTGTTGTCTAGTCAAGAGTCTACACTGTAGTGGCGCCTAGTCTACAGTCTATTCTACAGTGTAGTCTATAGTGCAGTCTACAGTGTAGTCTATAGTGTAGTCTAGAGTCTACTTTATAGTTCAGTCTATAATGTAGTCATTAGTCTAGTCTGTAGTCCAGTATATGGCCTTGTACATAGTCAAGTCTATAGTCTAGTATACAGTCTAGTCTATGTACACACTATAGTATAGTCTACATTATATTATGAAATCTTCTCTGCAGTATAGTCCTATATTGTAGTCAAGTCTAGTCTATAGTCTAGTCTATAGTTTAATCTATAGTTTAATCTATAGTCTAGTCTATAGTCTAGTCTATAGTTTAGTCTAGTTTATAGTCTTGTCTATAGTTCAGTCCAGTCTATAGTCTAGTCTATAGCCTAGTCTATAGGCTAGTCTATAGTCTAGTCTATAGTCGAGTCTATAGGCTAGTCTATAGTCTAGTCTATAGTCTAGTCTAAAGTCTAGTCTATAGTCTAGTCTATAGTCTAGTCTATAGTCTAGTCTATAGTCTAGTCTATAGTCTAGTCTATAGTCTAGTCTATAGTCTAGTCTATAGTCTAGTCTATAGGCTAGTCTATAGTCTAGTCTATAGTCTAGTCTAGTCTATAGTCTAGTCTATAGTCTAGTCTAGTCTATAGTCTAGTCTATAGTCTAGTCTATAGTCTAGTCTATAGTCTAGTCTATACTCTAGTCTATAGTCTAGTCTAGTCTAGTCTAGTCTAGTCTAGTCTATAGTCTAGTCTATAGTCTAGTCTATAGTCTAGTCTATAGTCTAGTCTATAGTCTAGTCTATAGTCTAGTCTATAGTCTAGTCTATAGTCTAGTCTATAGTCTAGTCTATAGTCTAGTCTAGTCTAGTCTATAGTCTAGTCTATAGTCTAGTCTATAGTCTAGTCTATAGTCTAGTCTATAGTCTAGTCTAGTCTAGTCTAGTCTATAGTCTAGTCTATAGTCTAGTCTATAGTCTAGTCTATAGTCTAGTCTATAGTCTAGTCTATAGTCTAGTCTATAGTCTAGTCTATAGTCAAGTCTATAGTCTAGTCTATAGTCTAGTCTATAGTCTAGTCTATAGTCTAGTCTATAGTCTAGTCTATAGTCTAGTCTATAGTCTAGTCTATAGTCTAGTCTATAGTCTAGTCTATAGTCTAGTCTATAGTCTAGTCTATAGTCTAGTCTATAGTCTAGTCTATAGTCTAGTCTATAGTCTAGTCTATAGTCTAGTCTATAGTCTAGTCTATAGTCTAGTCTATAGTCTAGTCTATAGTTATTAGACTATAGTTTAGACAATAGTATAGTCTAGTCTAAAGTTTAGACTATTGTATAGTCTAGTCTATAGCTTAGACTATATTCTTGTCGAGACTATATAAATGTTTTTTTTTCTATAACCACATCAAACTTCAAATTTTCAGATTATATTTGCATTAATTCTTAAACTAGATCTGAAACCAATAAAATTTTTCCAGGGTAAATAACAAAATTAAACTAAAGGTATAAAAATATTAGACAAACATTACATTTACGAAACAAATTACAAAACCAATTAAAATTAAATATAAAAATAAAATAAATTATAAAAAAAAGTAAAAAAAAATACATTTAATCTTACTGCGCTTCGGACAAATACCTCGAAATAATATATCAACTAGAAAACTACTGCAAGACGTGGATTTTTTTATAGCAAAACCCGCGCTGGGAGGAGGAGTATTTGTAGTATTTGTGGTACGATACGTTTTTGAAGAATAATTTTGACTATCACTATTTAATAATTTTTGTGTACAAGAAGAACTATTACCGCCGCCAGCAGCAGCAACAACAACAGCAGCAATATTCATATTATTGTCGTCATTGTTGTTGTTGTTGTTATTTTTAAAAGTAGCAGTAGTAGTAGCATTGGCAGTGGTAGAATAATAGGTTGAATGTAGGGGTTTACAATTTCTACTTAAAGTAAATGATTTGTAAACAGTTTTACCATTGGTATGCATTTCATCAATAAGCTGGCGTGCAGAGGCTGAATTGTCCTCATCACGATAGGTGCTATCACGACTTGAAGAGAGTAGACTATAAGAAAATAATATAAAAAAATTAAAATTTTTTAATGTTAAAGCAAAAAAGTAAAATGAAGAAAAATATACCTGGTTCTTTTGGGTGGGGCTGGAGCTTGTTTGCCCTGTTTGTTGGTGGTTCTACGCATTTGAACATTACCTTTGCCTTGACTGGAAAATGTTAAAAGTTTCGTTGAGCCGGAACCAGTGTCTGTAAGAACAAGTAATTGATTTTTTTCAAGTTGTAGATTACAAATATCTTATTTGATTTCCATTAAAATGAAGGAACATTTTGATAATTTACCTGACATGGGAGTACTGGCTTGCTGATCGTGATGACCACCTGGTGTTAGACCACCACCACTATTACCGCCGACGCCACCACAACCACCACCGCCACTATTTCCCTGTGAACCCTGTGTATTGCCGCCCTGCATTATACCCTTTTTCGACATTTGTGGCGTTAAACTTTGACCAATATTTGGCGTTGTTGTTGTTGTCGTGGCATTCAATTGTTTTTCGACCGCTTCGGTTATAGATGATTCCTGCAGATCGAAGAAATTAAGATGTGCTTGTCCATTACTATATCTACTATTATTATTTGTTTTATCTAAACAACAATTTGTTTTATCTAGTTTTTTAGTAATTTGTCTACCACATATAGCATTGTTGTTATAGCCATGATTTTGCTCATTTGCCCACTCACATGGATCAAGTCTAAATCAAAGCTCAATGCCATCATCTTCATATTCATCGTCACCGTCGATATTGTGATCGTCGTCGTCATCGTCGTCTTCGTCATCATCACCGACGACATTATTCTTTTTCGTATAACCAACACCAACACGACCACCACCAATTAAACAACCACTTTCCCATATTTCACCCACCTGAAACATATGTTCCAAAGCATGATGTATGCTTTTAAACGTCGGCCTATCCGCCGCATTCCATTGCCAACATTGACGCATTAAATCATAAACTTCCGGTGGACAGCCCGGTGGCCGTTCCATGCGATAACCTTTCTCCAATTTATGAAAGACATCGGTCAGATCGATGCCCGGATATGGGGACATACCGTACGTGGCTATTTCCCACAGCAGCACACCGAACGCCCAAACATCCGATTTTGTACTGAACTTATTGTAGGCCAATCCCTCGGGGGCGGTCCATTTGATGGGAAACTTGGCGCCCGCATGTGCCGTATAGGTGTCATCACGCATCAGACGAGCCAAACCAAAATCGGCTACTTTTACCAATTTATTATCGCCCACCAAACAATTACGGGCAGCCAAGTCACGATGAATATAATTACGAGATTCTAAATAGCTCATACCCGATGCTATTTGTGTAGCCATGTACAGAAGAGCCACAGCATCGAGTGTTTCGCGTCCGGCTGATCGTAGGAAATCCAATAGATTACCATGAGACATAAATTCCGTGATTATATAGAAGGGTGGCTCACGGGTACAGACACCTGTTGGTTGAAATTAAGATTTTTTGTTAAGTAATATTATGGTTTTGTTGTCTTGACTTCTAATCGAATCGAATATTCTTCCTAAAAAAATCTATTCATTTATAACTAAAGACAATAATTTATTTCAATAATTATTTAAATTTTTATTCTTGCAATTAATTTAATTAAAAATTTAAGTTGTTTTTCAATTCAATGTCATTTCTTTGGGCCTTTGAATAAAAATTCAAATTACATTTCTTTTGAAATGCATTTAAATTCATAAAAGAACTAGTTCACAAAGTAAAAACTTATGACGTTTCAGGGAGAAAAAAAAAATCGTTAAAAAGGGCAAAATTAAAAACCTAATTATCCACAAGAACTCAAACAAACTTTTTAATTATATTCATACAGTAGTAGGGTGGAGCTTTTGGTATAAGTTTGGGGAGTTTAGATGTAATTAATAATTATAGATAAATATATTTTCTATATAAGCCAATACTAATCTATAAAAGGAGATTTCACTGAAATGACGTAACGTTAACCCTTTGGCCGGCGGGATCAAAGTTCAGATTTAAAAATATTTTGAATCTTACGTATTTAATACTAATTTTCAATAAAAGTTTAGAAAAAACAAATTCTGTATAGTTATTACTCTAAAATACGACAACTTTTGTAATAGGGGTCAAAGGTCAACTTAAAAATATTTGAAATGTTATGAATATACTGCAGAATTTTTTGATAAAACTGTTTAAAAACTAAAAATTTTACTGAAGTACGGAAATATTAACACTTTTTACCAAAGGGGTCAAAGGTCAATATTTAAAACCTTTTGTAATATTCGAGGTCAAAGTTCAAAAATATTTAATTTTTGAAAGAATTTCACAAAATTTTTAAAGAGTTTTAGCAAGTTTTTCTTCAAAACATTACTTTATTTATGGAAACATTGAACCTTTTCTTAATCAGGGGTCAAGGGTTAAATTTTAATACAATTTTAATGTAATTTATTTACTGTAGGATTTCAATGAAATTTAGAAAAGTTTTTCATAAAAACTAAATGCTGAAGTATTTTACTAAAATGGGAATCAAATTTAACCCTTTGGCCATCAGGGTCAAAGATCAAAATTATAAAATTATTTGAAATACTATAGCTTTACTGTAAAATTGTATATACATTTTAGCATAGTTTTTCATACAAAACTAAGTTTTGGAAATTTCACTCAAATACGGAAACTTTAAACCTTTCACCATTGAGGTCAAAGTACAAAATTAAAAAAAATATTTGAAATGTTATGTTTTCACTATACGATTTCGATTAAAATTATGAAAACATTTCTATTAAAATAAGATATACTAAAGATTTAACTAAAAAACGATAATATATTAACTTAAGACACTGGGGTCAAAGGTCAAATTGAAAAAAGTGGAATGCTAAGTATTTACTGTAGGATTTATTTGACATTTTAGTAGTTTTTAATTAAAAAATACCGATGAACTTATTACAATATACAAACATAAGACCTTACGTCGTCTGTGTCAAAGGTCAAATTTAAGAATATTTGAAAAAGGTATTAAATAAAGAATTTTGAGGATTCTATATTAAAAGTTTTTAACTAGATTTAGAAATGTTATTGAAAGCGAACCCGGAAATTCTCCATATTCGAAAATATATAAAGAATATAACCACCCTAATACCCAGACAAAATCAACATCCCAAATATATTATCCTTCTATTTTTTTTTAGTACTTTTGCTTTGGTTTCACTAATAAACTTTTTCTTTAACTAATTTACACACTCTTTAGTAAACATGAATGAAAAACATAAAAAAGAAAATTTGGACAAAAAGCCTTAGAAGCAGAAAAAAACTCTTTTTACTATCCCTTAACTATGTAACTGCAAATTATGTTATGACTAACTAACTACAACTAAATAAATAATTATACCACCTTCTTTTTTCAAACCTAACAAAATTATCCATTATACTCCCTTAACTGCTAGTCATACATTTTAATTTTATTTACTCACCAATTAGTTGCACTAAATTGGGATGTTTCATTTCTTTCATAATGGCTGCCTCTTCAAGGAAATCCTTAAGGGCCATAGTATCTTCTTTAAGTGTTTTAACGGCCACCGTATTGCCATAACGTTTCCATATCGCCTCATAAACCTCACCATACTGGCCACCGCCCAACTTGTGTTTCATAACAATATCAGTGCGACAAATTTCCCATTCATCGGGTTCGGGACTTAGAGGAAATACTGTTGGTTTATTTTGCTTTGGTGCTGGATACAAAAGTGGTGTAATCAGTCCATGACCCTCGTGTGGCACACTATGATGATGTACCAGTTCGGCGAGGGTATTAAATTTGGCTTCGGCTGTTACGAAAACTTTACCATCGGGATCTTCAGATATTCGATAGTGATAAACACGACCCTCATATCTGAAATCAAAAACATTTGAGACAATTAAAAAAAAATTATTTATTTTTTAATAAAAAACACTCACCTTAAACTAATACTTCTTTGTCCGGGAGAACTTTCGCTTTCTCTTACCAGAAATGAACCATTGATGCCTGAACTTAAAAGATATTCTGCAGCATTTCTTGATATGGGTCCATGATACCAGGAATGTTTTTCCAATGAGTTCAAAGGTGTTACATAATTTGAGGGCACCCAGCCCACATTACCCGAATCCGAATGGGCCTCACACCATTCTCCTGATTTGTTATACGATAATATGCGTACTTGTTCTCCCTTTTTGAGACTCAATTGATTTTCTCCTCCGGCCTGAAATCGTAAAGTGCTACAAATAACTGAGGATCATCTTCTTCGGGTCCCGGAGCTAAGAGATTTTCTTTGGAAGTCCATCTGTGGGCCGATTCAAACCCGATGTTGTCGAACTGTGTCCCTGACTGTGTGTTTGTGTGGTATGCAATGAAATGCCATCTTGATTTTGACCCAAAAGGTCCGATGTGTCTGGTACACCACCCAGTAGTGTGCTACCAGCTGGTATATGTGGCAGGGGTCGGGATTGTAAGAGAGCTT